CCAATGCAGGGACTGACAGAGCGTGGAGGCTTGGGAGGTGCGACCAGACAGGAAATTAAGCCTCGCATCCGCATTCATTATAGATTGCAGCAGTGCAAGCTGGGAACATGTAAGACTGGTGAGAAGGGGATTGCAATAGTCAAGGCGAGAGAGAACAACAGCATGAACCAGTACCTTAGTCACGTCTGGCGTTAGATATGGGCTGATGCGCGCTATGTTCTTGAGTTGGAAGCGACAGGATTTGGCTTTCGATTGGACATGAGGAGTAAAAGAGAGGTCAGAATCAAAAATAACCCCTAGGCAACGAGCCTGCGAGGTAGAGGTGATAGTAGCGCCGTTGACTTGGATGGAGACAGACACAGGAGTAGCAGCACTTAAGGGAGGAAAAACTAGAAGTTCTGTTTTGGACAGGTTGAGTTTAGGGAAGTGAGCAGCCATCTAGCTGGAAATAGCAGAGAGGCAGTCAGAAACACGAGTCAAGGTGGGCAGAGAGAGATCAGGGGAGGACAGGTAGATTTGCGTGTCATCTGCATATAAATTATATTGGAAGCCAAAGAAGCTGATGAGCTTATCAAGGGAGGCAGTATAGATAGAGAACAGTAGGGGGCCGAGGACAGAACCTTGGAGGACGCCGACAGAGAGGGGTTGGGGAGAAGAGGCAGAGCCAGAGAAAGAAACACTGAAAGAGCGCTGGGAGAGGTAGGAGGAGCACCAGGAGAGAGCAGTATCCCGTAGACCAAAGTTACGGAGAATGATATACAGTGTCAAAGGCGGCAGAAAGATCAAGGAGGATTAGGATAGAGTATTTGGCCAGCGCAGAATCCAAACTGAAGGGGTTCTAGCAGAGAGTTGGATTCGAGAAAGTCTGTCAATCTGGCGTAAACAACTCTCTCGAGGATCTTGGAGGTAAATGGCAGTAGCGAGATAGGGCGGTAGTTGGATGGGGAGTTGGGATCAAGGTTGGGCTTTTTCAGAATCGCATGTTTGAAGGGTGAGGGAAATGTGCCAGAGGAAAGGGAGAGATTGAAAATGTTAGCTAGAGGAAGAGCAAGAGAGGGAGACAAAGTGCGGATGAGATGCGAGGGAATAGGATCGAGGGAACAGGTGGTGGGGCGGGAGGACAGGAGCAGAGCAGAAACCTCTTGTGCTGTAGCAGGTGCAAATGAGCATAGGATGGCAGGGGGAGTGGGGTTGGGTGATGTATTGACAGGGCCGGACTGGGGATACAAAGCAGCCCTGGAAAAAAATCTATGCCAGCCCCATAAGTCATTGTGCTATGTAGGGTGTTTTATATATATATATATATATATATATATATGCAATTGAACTAGTTGGCTGCACTCTCGGATTTCCTTAAAATTTAACTTTTATTGACATATTTAAGAGAAGATCAACGTTTCAGTCCCTCTTGTGGACTTGCATCAGGATCATGACGAAAGTCCACAAGAGGGTCTGAAACATTGATCTTCTCTTAAATATTTAAATAAAAGTTACGTTTTAATGAAATCTGAGAGTGCAGCCATCTATTTCAATTGCCTGGATACTGGAGCCCTGGTGATGCAACAGTATATATATATATATATATATATATATATATATATACATTATTGATACATTTCTTCTTCTAATTCAAAATATTAGTTCTTTTAGGGTAATTAAATTATACAGTAAAGCATACTCACACACAGACAATCTTACTGATGCACACAAATAGGCTCATTGACAGACAATCTCAATGACACACACAGACAAGGTTACTGGCACACACACAAACTTAGTACAGACAAACTCTGATACACACACAAGCTTACTACAGACAAGCTCACTGTCACACACACATGCTCACTATAGACAAGCTCACTGATGCACACACACTCTCCCTACAGACAAGCCCATTGACACACACATGCTCCCTACAGAAGAGCTCACTAACACACAGATTCACTACAGACAAGCTCACTGACACACACATGCTCACTACAGACAAGCTCACTGACACACATATGGTCACTACAGACCGGCTCCGACACTAGCAGGCACACACACACACAAACACACAAACTCACTAGCAGGCACACACACACAGAGTCTCCCTCACTAGCAGATGCGCGCACACACACACACACACACACAGGCAGACAGTCACTGACACCGAGGCAAACATCCACACATACAGAGACAGGCAGACAGCCACACACACACACACAGACAGACAGTCACACACACATACACAGGCAGACAGTCAAACACACAGGCAGACAGCCACATACACAGGCAGACCGCCACACACACACACAGGCAGATAGTCACACACACACACACACAGGCAGACAGCCGCACACACACAGTCACACACAGGCAGACAGCCCACACACACACAAGCAGACAGCCCACACACACACACACACAGCCCACACACACAGGCAGACAGTCACACACACACAGGCACAAACACACACACACACACAGTCAGATGAACACACACACACACAGTGACACACACACATGCAGACAGTCACACACACAGCCCACAACACACACAGACAGCCCACACACAGGCGCGACAGCCCACACACACACACACAGTGAGACAGCTCCACACACACACACAAACACACAGGACACACACACACACAGGCAGACAGTCACACACACAGGCAGACAGCCACACACACACACACACACACAGTCACACACACAGACAGTCACACACTCACAGTCACACACACAGACAGACACACACACACAGACAGTCACACACAGACAGTCACACAGACAGACAGACAGTCACACACACAGTCAGTCACACACAGGCATACAGACACACACACAGGCAGACAGACACACACACACACCGACAGTCACACACACACACACAGGCACTCACACACACACACACAGGCACTCACACACACAGTCACACACTCACATGCAGACAGTCACACACTCACAGACAGTCACACACTCACAGACAGTCACACACAGACACACTGACCTGCTTCTTACCTCCTGCTTGGAGCTCCTGGAGGCTGGTTGTTGGGGAAGCAGGGACTCCTTCCTGCTTCCCATGCTGCAGTTAGCCAGGCCCGCGCCGCACAGTAAGCCCCGCCCCGCCGCACATTAAGCCCCGCCCCACCACACGCTAAGCCCCACCCCACCACAGAGTAACTCCGCCCCCGCCGCATTATTATTATTTTTTACATGATCCCGGCCAGCCATGTGTGAGCTGTGCCAGCCGCCTGTCTCTCCCTGCTCCCATGGGGCTCTGTGCGGCCACACAGCTCACACATAGCTGGCCGGGATCACAGGAGCTTGAGTAATGAGTAGGGTTGTTAGCCAAGCCCCAGGTGCCGCGGCCCATAGGGAAATTTCCCGGTATCCCGGTGGGCCAGTCCGGCCCTGTGTATTGATAGGGGTAGGAGAGAGGTTAGAGATCTCTTTCCTGATTGTAGAGATGACAGTACAGCTTATTTTTATCAATCCAATTAATTTTAGTGAATAATGTAGACTATTCTGCTTCAATAATGATGTCTTCTAATTCTTGCCACTGACACAAATCACGGAAAAAAATTCTTCTTTAAAGAGACCACTTGAAAATGGTCATGAGCAACATTTTAACAACATGCATTCTAAATGGAATGTAGGAAATGGTTACTTCCTGTTTGTGGGTATAAAGCAAATCTCATTACATCTGTTAAAAAGGTTGTCATCTTCTGCACAAAGTAAACACTCTGGGCAATTTCCTGAAACTCTTTAAAAGTGTAGTTCCTTTGAGACTCAAAATGATCGAGTATTTGAGAGTACCATAGTTTAAGAGAAGCATTTCTTTCTTTCAGCATAACGTGTGTGAAGGTGTTAAACCACAGCTTCCCCATGAGAGACATTCTAATGGAACATATTTGATTGTAGTTTTCTCTGGACTGGAAGGAGAAACAAATAAAGTTAATATCAAAATCAGACAATTATTAAAACAGACAGTTGTCAATACATAGACTTTCGTGTTAATAAAGTGACAACGCAAAACTTTTCAGCAATACAAAAACTTTCATGTTACATTGATAGTGACTGAGTAGGCCTAAGGAAAGGTGAAACACAGTTCAAGGAGAACCTGCTTTTATATTGAGATTAAATTTTCTTTGTTTCTTTTTTCTTCATATTCTTTTTTTTTTTGTGCTTGTTGATAACACAGGTATCACAGTATACATTAGAGAGATTACAAACAGTTAACATGACATGTCAGGATAAATGTAAAGATATTTCAGCACATTTTATATTTTATAACAGGCAGGTATGCTGTGTGCATAAGGTTAAACTCAATAGGGTAGGTTAAGTAAGGGAGTTAAGGAGTTATGTAAGCATGTATAACAGCGCTTGTGACCATAACAGATTAAATCTCCCTGGGGGGCCCCCAAGCCGGTAAGGTGGTTGAGACAGGTAACAACTGGCAAGACAAGACCCCAAGGTATAGATTGTGAAGAACTGCTGATAATAAGGGAGCACCAAAGTAGGCACAAGAGCAAGGTAAAACATAGAAATTCCCCAGTCATTAATTATGACTGGAGGGTAATGGGCCTCGTCTTATGGCTCAGTCACTGGGTCCAACTCAGCCAATGTCCTCCAAGGGTAAAGTACAGTCCTGAACCGGAGAGGTGTGCAGGAGGTCATGGAGCCCAGGTGTTAGCTGGTGAGACAATTCGGTCCTCAGGACGGCAGGTGTAATGGGCGATCTGAACTTTTTAATGTGATTCAGTCACATTCCCACTGCTCCAGGCAAGTCCAGTGACCATGGTAAGAGCCTCCCCAGCTTGCAGCCTTATTTGCAGACCCATGGCTTCCTCAGGATGTGTCCCTGTTCGGAAAGGCAGTGCAGGTAAGTGGCGGTGAAGCCGGGAACCGGTGGGCCTGCTCTGAGACACTTTTAGCAGTTGCCCTGGTGATGTGAGCATCTTGTGGCGCCAAGTATGCTTAGCTTGGTTTGGTCATCATGTAGGAGAGGGCACGGGCGGTGGAGATTGTTCATTTGTCAGCTCAGTGTAGCGCAGGATTGTTCCCATAAGTTGTGTAGGGCTTTTATAAGCTTCTCTTCCCAGGAGATCTGTAAGGCCTGGGCAGTTGGTGAAGAGCCTTGAGCAGATGCCATCTTGCAAGGTAGGCCTTAGTTTTTCAGTGCCGCGTAGTCTCCATACAGCTCTAGATTTCCCCAGTTGGGACCGGGACGACCTCACTAGCCCAAAGGGGGGGGTGGGGAGGACCGGCAAGCATGTCAGTGAGCCGGCTTGTGGTAGTTGGGAAGGAAGGCAGGGTGGTGGCCATCCACTCCGCTCCACTCCCGAGTAGGCCGCAGCCTTCGAAGTACTTCTGCTGTGCAGGCTCATGACCCTCGGGGGGTGGCTAGCAGGGAGATGGGGGGCTGTTCCCAGGATGAGAGGGGACGGGGCAGGGTTTCTACGGCCAGCCTACCCAGGATGTCTTCTCCTTACAGGTTTCGAGGACGGTCACCCTCGGAGAGGGAGAGACCCCATGCGACAAGGACAGCAGGACGGTCGCCGGTATGCAAGGCGGACCCGGTTAAAGGACAGGCGTCTTCCAGGTCCCCCGCGGATCGGGTGAGACCCAGCGCATCAGGAGCACTGCCCGGAGCAGCGGGACGCTTGGGGCAGGAGATCCGCGGTCGGTCAGCAACCCCACGGCCTTCGGCGGCAAGGGGTGCAGAAGGTGAGACATGGTCGTTAAAACAGTCGGGGGAGCTGCTAGATGACATTAGACAGTTAAAGGACCACTATAGTGCCAGGAAAACATACTCGTTTTCCTGGCACTATAGTGCCCTGAGGGTGCCCCGACCCTCAGGGTCCCACTCCCGCCCGGCTCTGGAAGGGGGAAAGGGGTAAAAACTTACCTTTTTCCAGCGCTGGGCGGGGAGCTGTCTGCCTCCGATCCTCTTCTCTCCTCCCGTGGCTGAATGCGCGCGCGCAAGAGCCGCGCATTCAGCCGGTAGTAGGGGAATTACCAATTTTATGATTCGCTATGCTCTCACCGTGAAAATCACAGTGAGAAGCACAAGCGCTCTAGCGGCTGTCAATGAGACAGCCGCTAGAGGAAATAGGGGAAGGCTTAACCCATTCATAAACATAGCAGTTTCTCTGAAACTGCTATGTTTATGAAAAAAAGGGTTAACCCTAGCTGGACCAGGCACCCAGGCCACTTCATTAAGCTGAAGTGGTCTGGGTGCCTAGAGTGGTCCTTTAATTGATTCCTGGGGTGTAGGGAGCAGGAAGGACAGTGAGTGCAGTCAGGTTTGGGCTCGGGTGGGAGAAGTCGCATGGGCTAGTCCGGTGAGGGTTTCTGGGGCCGGAGGCAGCACAGTGGGGGCGGGGGTGCGACCCCCACAGTAGAGGTGCCCGGTTTGGAGGAGGATAAAAAGGATGCCAAAAAGGAGGAGGAGGAAAAGAAGTGGATAGGAAGATACCTAAGACGTTTGGGAACTGGCTGAGGGCATTTTGCATCTTGGCCAGCGTGATGGGCGAAAAGGCGGAAGAGCGCTGTTCGCAGCTCTTCTGTTACCTGGTAGGTATTTGAGACGCTTATCGGATATACGGGGGTCTGGCCTGGTGGCGATATGACGAGCAGTTCCGTCAGCGCCTGGCTGCAAATCCGGGGATGCGGTGGGACCAGATGGACCTACCCCTCTGGATAAAACTCATGATGGCGCAGAAGGCGTCCCCCTTTCAGACAGGGGTCGGCACGGGCGCGTCTACCGCCGTGTTGGCCAACCAAAAACGGGGCTATTGCTGGCTGTATAATGAGGGACAGTGCAAGTGGGGGGCCACTTGTCGATTCAAGCACGAGTGCTCCGGGTGTGGAGGCGCCCACGGACTTCACAGGTGTTTCAAAAAAGGGAAGTCAGCCTCCGCAGCAGGGGTGCCTGGAGGTTCGTCAGGGTCCCCTGCCTCTGGGGGCCACACCAGTGAAGGTCGGCGCGATGCGGTCGTGGCTAAGCCACTACGCTAACAGGGAAGATGCGGCGTTGCTAGAGGAGGGGCTCACCAAGGGTTCGTTATCCCGTTTCAGGAGCAAGTGGTGGCTCATCGTCTTCACAACCTGAAGTCGGCAGGGGAATTTCCGGGGGTGGTTAGGGAGAAGTTGCATAAGGAGGTTCAGCTGGGCAGGGTGGCGGGGCCGTTCAGGGAACCCCCGTTACCCAACTTGAGAGTATCACCACTTGGGGTGGTACCCAAGAAGGAGCCCGGCAAGTACCGCCTGATTCACCATCTGTCCTACCCCAAGGGGTCGTCAGTTAATGACGACATAGACAGGGCCCTTTCTTCGGTTTCGTATGCTTCGTTCGACCAGGTGGTGAAACTGGTGCAGCGAGCAGGCCAGGGGGCGTTGTTGGCGAAGGCGGACATGGAGGCGGCTTTCCACCTTTTGCCGATTCACCTGAAGTGCCATCACTTGCTGGGTTGTCACTTCGAGGGGGAATATTACGTAGATCTTTGTTTGCCCATGGGGTGCTCTATATCGTGCGCGTACTTTGAAAAATTTAGCACATTCCTGGAATGGGTGGTAAAGCTGGAAGCGGGCACTAGGACGGTAGTCCATTATCTGGATGATTTCCTATGTGTAGGGCCTCCTGGATCGGAGGAATGTCGCAGGGGATTGAGGACACTGTAATGGGTGGCGCACGTGATTGGAGTCCCCTTGGCACGTGACAAAACGGTGGGGCCTACGACCTGCCTGAGTTTCTTGGGCTTGGAGATCGACTCGGTAAAGGGGGAGTGCAGGCTGCCACAGGACAAGTTATTGGCACTCCGGCAGGCAGTGGCGGAGGTGCGTGGAGCTAAGAAGGTTACGCTCCGGGCACTTCAGTCTCTGCTCGGTCGGCTAAACTTCGCCTGTCGGGTGATCCCGGTCGGACGGGTTTTTAACAGGTTCCTAGCCAGGGCAACGGCGGGGGTGGTGTTCCCGCACCACCTTATTCGAGTATCAGGGGCCATGAAGGCTGACTTGGACATCTGGGGGGAATTCTTGCAGGATTTTAACGGGAAAGTGTTCTTTCGGGAGCCGGCGTCGTCGTCTCAGGAGTTGGAGCTGTTTACGGACGCGTCGGGGAGTATCGGGTTTGGGGCTTACTCTTCAGGTCAAAGGTGCGCGGGTACTTGGCCAGGGGCCTGGAAGGCCAGCCCGCTGATACGTAACCTAGCGTTCCTGGAATTGTTCCCGTTGGTAGTGGCGCTGTCACTATGGGGTCCACAGTTGAGGGATAAGAAGGTGGTATTCTTTTCAGACAATATGGCAGTGGTAGATGCAGTGAACGGGCTATCAGCGTCCTCTATCCCGGTGGTGCGGCTTCTTCGCCGTTTTGTCTTGTTCTGTATGAGGTTTAACATTGTGTTTCAGGCGCGCCACGTGCCGGGACTGTTGAATGTCATTGCTGATGCGTTGTCTCGAGATGTGGCGGCTCGGGACATCATGCTTGGCGGACTGATCAGGGATTCCCTGGCACCCGCTACCTGGGCGGCATACAGTAAGGTGTGGGGGGAATGGGACGAACTGGTGCAGCAGACAGGGGGTCAGCTCTCAGAGGAGGCGCGCTTGGATGCGCTGCTGTGGCTCTTGTGTAGGTCAGTTACCACAGGGGTTTCGGCAGCAGTGATGGGGCGTAAGCTGGCAGCGCTAGCGTTCTTGTTCAAATTTAACGGGTGGGAGGATGCTACCAAACATTTTCTGGTTAGACAGGCACTGAAAGGTTTCAGGAGGGGTAAAGTGTCAGTGGATACTAGGAGGCCGGTGTCGTTCGAATTGCTGCAGCGGGTGGTCCGAGTGCTGCCCGTGGTGTGTTTTACGAAGTGACGTTGTTTTACGTGGTTTTTAGTTTTGCCTTTTTTGGGGCATTTCGGGTCAGCGAGCTAGTTAGCAGCAATCGCCAAGGGTCCGGGGGACTTCAGGCGATGGACGTGGAAGTGTGGAGCAACAAGGTAGTGATTAACCTGAGGCGGTCCAAAACGGATGTAATGGGGAAATGGCCGGGGGTTCATATTTCAAGCATTAGGACGGCTCTTCGCTATCGAAGTTCCAGTTCCTCAGGGTTTTTCGGAAGGCGTTGGCAAGGTTGGGTGTGGACCCGGGCCAATTTGGGACACATTCTTTCAGGATTGGTGTGGCTACTGAAGCGGCGAGACTAGGTTTAGGTGACGAACGGGTGAAAAAGATTGGCAGGTGGGAGTCCCTGAGGTTCAGGTCTTACATTAGGCCAGACAAGTTGGTTTAAGTTGGAGGATGGAAAAGGGGGAATGTTGGTGGTTGTTTTGTGGTTGTCTATGTTTGCTTTATGTTTTACAGGTCGGATGGCATGGGTGGTCGGCCACTCATACGTACACTGGGCGCAACTGAGAGCTGCAGTTCGACGTCACGGTCTACAGCTGGGCTTTCCAAGTTCTGTGGTGCAGCTGCGGTGGTTTGGTTACCGGGGCTGGGGTTGGAATGTTATATGTGAGGAAATGTTTCACAAAATTCTTTTGGGACAGGTTCCGGACATAGTGGTGCTTCATGCAGGGGGCAATGATGTGGAGTCATTACCTCAAAAGGTCCTGCTCGAGTGTATGAAGAGGGACGTGGACAGGTTAAGGGAGTTAGTGCCAGGGGTTATGGTAGTATGGTCGGAAATGGTTCCAAGGTTGTACTGGCGGCACGAACGGAATCCCTCCGCGGTGGCAAACATTAAGGGTAAGGTCAACAAGGTGATGGCAGCGTACGTGAAGCGGTCAGGGGGTTGTGATCAGGCACAGGGAGTTGGAAGACATGCTCCCAGGTTATTATAGGAGTGATGGGGTCCATCTGTCCGATGTGGGTTTGGACTTTTTGTTGCTGGGTTTCCAGGAGGGCCTCCAGAGAGCGCTTTTTTCCCTGAGGGGGGTGTCGTCAGGAGCTCGAGGAGTCGAGCTCTGAGCTGTGGCGGGGGATGGAGTGTAAAGTTGGGGGGAGAAAAGAGTGAGATGGGGAAAAAGTTTGGAGTTCAGGGCTAATAGGTAGGCCTTTGGACTGGTTTGGTAGGTTCGAGCTCGTAGGTAGCTCCGAACCGGGGTGTCTATGGGGTGTCTCGGTATGCCCCTACACTTGTGGTGCCCTTTGGTGGCAATGGATGGTGCCCTTTGGTGGCAATGGTCATGTTCATGTAAATAAAATGTTCAGTGCTTGGGTGTTATGTTATGTGGGGGTGGGTCATTG